GCGCGTTTTGGTTCAAAATGCCTTGCTTTGGTTGGAAAAAGGGACACGTTTTCCATTTTCTTTGAAATTTTTTTTACCATTTTCAAAAACGTGTTTTCAGAAATGGAAAAGAGAACGCGTTTTCACTGTTTTTGAAAATTGAAAACAGAAAACGGGTTGAAAACGGAGGGCCTTAGTGACTAGGTTGGAACAATACAAAATTGGGTGACTAAGTTGGAATTTTGCTGAAAGTGGTTTAACCAACTGTATTTCTAAACCTGTCCAACATATGATATGTTCTTTTACACCTAAAAAGACGCTGGCCTAATTTTTGTGTAAGATTTGATGCTTTCAAGTAGTAGAAGGTCAATACATTGTGAACTGATGCAATAGGATTAGAAAGTCAATTCTTCGGTTTGTTTCACTATGCCTTAAAAGAGTATTCATTTCTTGAGCCAAAGTTATATGATCACACTTTGATTTAGAGGGGTTTACCAATATATGAATGTGATGTGAATAAACCATAAACAAACCAACATGATTCAGTCTTTCTTGAGATATAAATATAATTATTCCTTGCTCCCTTCTTGTACAATGGTTGGGGTATAGTGCAGTTTATGGGCTGTAGCATCCAAAAACATTTTGGTATTAATAAGAAATTGAATGTTTGATAATCAGTTTTATATGCTGAATATTTACAAAATGAAATTTATGAATCAATTGGATGAGATGAGGATATTAAGAGCATAATTTGGATTCTTTCTTTCTCCACCCCTTGACTTTCATCTGTTATCTTTTCATATATGTTTGGTTCCTTTCCCCTTCATAAAATTTGTTTCTATACTATATTATTGTTCAAAGCTAGTATCACAGTTTTTTCATACAATTAGAATTATAGAAGTGAACAAATCAATATTCAAGAATGGATGCCGTAGAAATTAAATATAGGTCATGCTGAGAACATGCATTATTGTGTTGAAATTTCTGGTCTAGGAACTGAGCTAAAAGTGACGCTCATTGGGTGAAATTCTCTATTCCTCCCCTCCTTGTGGCCACCCACCGACCTAAAAAAAAAAAAAAAAGAGAGCATTTTTGACAGATTATTTTGTGCTATTCTGCCATTTGTCATTGTTACAACTCTGGTGTGATTGATAGGTTGGAATGGAATACCTTATTTGTTTCAGCCTCGCTTTATCTAGTCAATAACTTTTAATTTTCTAGTTTTTTTTTCCCCTTAAATTACAACCTTTTCTTCATCTCGATTTCTCTATCCAGAAAAAAATTTCATCAAAGTTTGAAATTTAGAGGCTAGAAATTTATAGTCATGAAAAAGTTGCACTTGAAACAAACATTTGATGTTAGTCATTTGAATTTATGAGTTTAGCTTCGATTAAGCTTCCAGAGACCTTTGCCAGCCTGTGCCTTTAGTCCGAGACATTGAAATGAACCAAATGGGAAAGCTTCTAGATGGTGTTGTTTTCAGTTGATCTTGATTATCAGGGGGCCGTCCTACCTGTGCATTGGAGTTAGCATGTCAAAATTAGTCTATTCAAGTGTCAATGGATGATACTCCTTCCTGACCTGTGCCCTTTTTCCGAGCCATTGAGACATGTTAAGACCCAATCGGAAAGCTTCTGGATGGTGGTGTTTTGAGTTGATCTTGAGAATTAGGGGCCTGTCCAAGCATTGCATTGAAGGTAGAACGGTCAAGTTGGTATATTCAAGTGTTGCATGTAAAAATCAATCCCTGGACGATAAGTTCATCTAAACTCCTCCTTGAAGGTTAGTGGCTCAGTAGCTCCTGTCGTGGTAAAAACACCACAGTTAGGTTTTACCTTTACCGCAGGGACATGAAGAGTATGGATCAGCTACTGAGCTTGTAGGTCTCAAAAAGACATTTAGACACACTTTTACCTTAGTGGGGGTAATAAACCACACACCCAACTGCAAGTTCTTGTTAAAAAGTTAGCTTTTACTTGGCTTTCTATTATAATTGAGATGGTGATATATGAAAGCACTTTAGCTTTCTGTGATAATATTATGTTTTTCAATAGCAGACCCATATGTACAATAGTAGGTAGCACTAAAATATTATGAAGTGTTTTCCAGGAGAAGCAGGAAGTTATTATTGAAAAGATGACTCGAAACAAGCGGAAATGTATCACCAC